GAAGTTAGCTTTTAATTTCAATGTAAGCATTCAGCACGTCAAAATTAGTGGTAGTAATTTTCAATTAGTAGAAAAAGTTAACAAACGTTTAACTTTTGCCATTAATTATACTTCAAAATTTGCGAGTAAAGTCATTTTGGCCTTTGATGATCATTAGTCAAGAGAAATTGTTGTTAGAAATCAAAAGCGTATTGTTTTATACTTTGAATAAGAAGACTAAGGAAGGAGCATAATGCTATCCATGTATTCATGCATGGTGGGCGGAAAAAGCTCTCTAGGGTGGGGATCCTTGACAGTTCTGTTTGACGATTCATTTGACACATTTGAATTTGATTTGAAATTTTGTGGATTTGTCAGTCTTTACGGAGCCTATTTTATGTTATTTATTATTTATTCTACTACTGATAGTTGTATAAAGGTAGTAAATCTAGATGGAAATTGTGGCAGAACTTAAATTAACAGTGGCATTATCGCGATTTATCGAAAAAGACTCTAAAATAGTTGGTTGTGTAGCGTGCGGTAGATCTCGGCAAAAATTGAGTGAAATAATGGTAAACCGATCATTTATGAAATTCACTTAAATTAACTAAATTATATATTTTCTTGCATTTTAGCTTTTATTTACTACTTGTCAAAGATCAGATGTCAAAGAATTTTGATACGTTAATTTGACTTACCTGCTTCAGTAGCGTATCGGATGTTTGTGTTAATAAATACTTATTATAACTTATCTATTTTTATTAGAATTATATATTTTTATAACAATTTTAATAACTACCAACATTTATTCACAACGTAAAATAAAATAACAAATTATTGAGTCTACCCCACGTCTACCCTACATCATAGTTTTACATTTTTTAAATAAAATTAGAACGGCACTGATAAACCGGAATTTAAGTCGGCCATATTTGAGGCCCATCGCGGTGTACCTAATATTTTTGATATGCTCCTTCCTTAGTCTTCTTATTCAAAGGTTTTATAGCTAATTATTAGACTTTCTCTATGGATACAACTGTCTATCGCAAGCTGTTGCGAAGATATTTTATTAATTTTAATTGCATTTTTTGCATTGTGAATTTTTAAGTAGGTAAGTATAAAGTATAATTGAAACCACTAATCTATTCCACTAATTTGGAGGTTTTGAATGAGGCTTAAGACTGAAAAATATTTTTAGGTAATTTGACAGGAAACTGACAGTAATCAATCAAAATTGCCAAGTCGAGCACAGCCTATAATAATTATGCATTACAGTTTATGAATTATCGCTAGTCAAAGTTCTGTAATTTCAACAGACTCACTCACCGATTCTCAAAACTCTAAAGTACTTCTAGAAATCTCACAAACTGCAAATTTTGAAATTGAATAAAAAAATGATGATTATCAAAAATCAAGCGTTTAGCCGTTAATGGTAACGGACTATGCAGTGGACAGAAAACTGCACAAATGAGTTTTTGGTTGCTCAACTTTTTTCAGTGAGATTTTTGGTTGCTCAACTTTTTTCAGTAAAATTGTTGTTTTTTTTTAATTTTTGATCGATTTGAACGATAATTGTAAAAAAAATAATCTACTATTTCGATTACTAAGTAAATGTAAACAGTGCACTCAATAATAAATTATTTAATAACTATAATACGTTGCCGTGCAATTGACAAGTCATTATAATCATTAGAGATGTATTGATAGGGTCACTATTGTTGAGAGGTAATTGATTAGATAACAATCTATAACAAAGTTGTAGAATGGGTGCTTCCATAGACGACGTTAACTAAAATAACTGACTTGGTTCTACGTGAGATGTCACAACCTATTTGTAGTGGAAGAACGATGTTGCGAGACTTGGCATCATTCTTTTACATTGTTGTTTTTGATTTGGTGAAATGACAAAAGACAATAACTGTCGCTGTCAAAATATCCTCTCCTTGGACAGATTTTCTATAGTTAAGATCTTAAGCTGAATTGGGATGTTAAGAATGAAAGATAACCTTGTGATCTCTAGAATACTTATAGTATATTTATATTGTGATTATTCTTCGAAATTTAGGATTAAATGTCTTATTAAAAAATAGTAGCAATTAAGTAATTATAAAGAATGTTATTAATAACATTGATAAATGTAATTAAAGATAACGGACTGTTTTGCAAAATATGTCTTTATTGCTTTATCCAGCGAGGACAGGAGATTTGGGGACATATACTAACATACAATATATTACATAATGGAAAATTGATAATAAAATGTCTAAAAATATAAATTATTATCCCAAAGAATTCCGAGAATTTCTTCTTAGAACTCAAAAGTCGATTCTTTGTGTTGAGAAAAGTAATAATTTTTGTTAAAAAAGAAGTAAATATCATCAGTAGTATAATATACTATCAGTAGTATTACAAAAATTGAAAAAATAGCAATTTTAACAAAATATAAAGATATTAAAGGTCTGTTCCCAGAAAGTTCCCGTTTCTCATTGGTTAAAATGCGTAGAAACCTGTTAGTCAGGTTTCTACGCATTTCAACCAATAAGAAACGCGCTGATTAGTCAGAGATTCTTCTGGGAACAGACCTTAAATCGCATTAATTTGATACTTCAAAAATCTATTGGTTGGTAGCACTACTTAATATTTGAATTGAGATGAAATTTATTTCAACATGTTTTCAAGCTGGCATAATAAATTGGCCTATTGATAACGGCTTGTCAACACTTTGTCCATAGAAGTTAAGCGACGCTTACCTTGAACAAGCGCTTGGAGGGATAACCGTCCGAAAAATCTGTCGAATTTTTGTCCAAAATCAGAAACTTGAAAACTTTAACGTATTTTTCAGGCTTCCAAAAATACTTTTTTTGAATATGATCTTGATAAATAATCGTTAACAATAAAACCTAAATATAGCGTAGAACCCACACAATTCTTCGCCCAAATTACTGCGAAAAAGTTCAGGAACCTTGTGGTTTACACTGCTATATGGTATTGGCAAATTTTGTTTATAATATATTTATGATTTTCTAAGAAAAATGCACTATACATAGTTAAGAAGCAAATGAAAACTAAATTATAAACTAAAAAAATCCCTTTTTAATTTTTTTTAACATTTTTATGTTTATTTAAATTAAATTGTTTAATATAATAAACTCTTAAAATACACTAATAAAAAACTCCATCTATTCAAATCGCGTTAGTAAATATCAGATATCAAAGGTTTTTGTTGAGATTTGATCAAATGTTATGTAATTCTGTTGAAGTTCCTCACAGACAATGAAGATCTTAATTTTCTTCATCAAACCTTTTTCAATCAAACATCAGAAAGCTCTTGTTCGTTGTTGAAACAACGATTGAAAATTTTTAAGTGCAAATCTCTTTAATGTTTGCAAAGAGGCACTATTTTTTATTAGACTTTGATATCAACATACTACTGGAAAAAACATGATAATTTTAAGTCGCCTTACCAAAACTTCCGAACTACAACTATATTTCAATGAATCAAAAGTTAATTTAAATAAAAATTAAGAGTTACAAAAATCTTCTAAACTAATTTCCAAAAATCACTTGGTATCTTTTTCGAAACAGCTGTTTCTAAAGACACTGATAAACAATGGTAAGATAAGGTAAAAGTTTTCTTAAGTAAAAAAAATCTTATATAATATTTAAGAAAATGTAAAAGTGCTTAATAAAAAAACTCCAAATTCCAAACAAAAACTTTAATCGAAATTATTTTTGCATTTTTAAAAATAATAAATTTGATTATATGCCAAAGCCCATTAATATGCAATTTAAATATTTCTAAAATTCACACTGATTAGTTGATTTACCAAACAGATATATTAAATTACAGATTTGAAATAGTTTAAAAATAATTCGAAATTATTCATTTTTTTCTTAGTATACTGCGAAATACTTCTCAAATGAAATCATAAAGGGTCGGAGACCTTTTGATTTACATGGGTACTTTGACAGTTGAAAGGTCAATGTGAAACCTCAAATAAAAAAAATTGCAAATTATCTAATAGATTATTTCTAACCATTTCCAAAAACATAAAGTCATTAGTTCTTGATTCACACTTATTTTAAAAAAAGCAGAATTGACTCTTTTCTTTGAGTAGAATCTTATTCTGAATTAAATCATTTTAACTTTTACAATAAGATACTATAAGATAATTTATTAACTATTGATACACCGGTAAAAAAACGAATGGATTTAGCAATTTTAGTGCTGAATTATATCCGAACTCTTTAGCAAAGCTTTTGGTTTTGGAAAATTTATCAAAATTCGTTAGTTTAAGTTAATGAAGAACCCAAACGATCAATTAAAAATTACAGCAAAAATGTTCTTTAAAGGTCACTTTTCAGTAACGAGAATCAAGAAACCAATTAGATTATAATCTGCATCATTTTATTGAATAAAAAAGACCAATATAACGTTCCCATTTCAAAATATATTGGTGAATAAAGCATTACAACTTCAAGTTTTAATCACATCATCACTTTAAATTTTTTTAGGTTTTCGTCACAATCACTGTTAATTCTCAATATATTTAGAAAAACATTATTCTTTTGACACTTGATGATGTTGAAAAAAAGACCCATCATTTTTCACAATGCTAGATTCAAATGTGATTCTGAATTTAAACATTTCAACCGTTCCCATAAAAAATTCATTAACCACTGATAAATATACACTGGTGAAAATACCAATAGATTTAGCAATTTTAGTGTTAAATTACACCCGAAATGTTTAGCAAAGCTTTTGATGGATGAAAATCCATACCGAATATACGAATTTTATTAAATAATATTCGAAAATTAGATAGTTTAAGCAACTAATAAAGTTCCCAAACTAACAATTGAAAATCCGATCAAAATTGTCTTTAAAGATCACTTTTTCGGTGATGAAAATCAAGAAACCATTAGATTCCAACGCACCAACAAGCGACGACAGTTCCTCAATCAATTTCCTAGCACTTTGTCACGCACATATCGAAAAAAATCAATTTTCGGGTACTTACCACCAGAGTCCATGATCGGTCATCGCGACCGCCAGTCCCCCCTACAGGGGAAACACACAACAACACTTCGGTCCTATGTAATGCACACACGCGGGTTCGCGCGTTACTGAGCACCGTCCACCACAGCCTCCATCCGACTTTCAGCTCCATCCACTACCACTAGAAAAGCCCGATGCGCGTCTCCGACATTCCCAACTTCGAACCCATATATCTCCCAAACCATTTCACCGATCTTCCTCAAATTTTTACTGGATAATCCCCAAACATCAAGGAACGTATCCTGAAAAAATCAACCCTCTAGGTTAAGGGGAAGGGTGCGAAAATCGGGTTAAGTTCGAGCGTCGCGGAATGAGCTAAAGTTGTGTTGGTGGGGCAGAGTCGTCGGCATGAGCCGCTTAGAAATATGGATCCAGTGTGCTGTTACGATGCGGTCGGGTGCGTGCCGGGCGATCGCTCTGGCTACCCTCGTTTTTACGATAGTGGGCCATGTAGACGCATTGGTAAGTCGATTGTTTTCTTGATCTTGTTTTGTCGGCGAGGTGATGAAGTCGGGTGGCTTTGATTCTTTAGATTTAAGTCAAATTTGTTGGTAACATACCGAGAGCTTTTATATTAGCTAACATTGTTCGTTATAGAGTTTATTATGAATCTGTATATTTATGTGTAGAACGTTTTTTTTTGCTAATGAGCCATAATACTTATACCTATAGAAACAGTGATTGTTGAGTTTTTAACAATAAATTATAATATTCAACGTATTTCAGAGCTAGCCAAACATTTACATTAGTTTTGCGTATGGTTTAAAGCAAAACACGTAGACGATAGATGTTTTCTAAAACACACTTTTTAAAATCTCAGATATGAGAAACATTTTATGCTTACTTGTTTACTACATTATAGTTTTTACATATTGATATTATATGATATATTTTTGGGATATATTTATGGAACTATGTACTAATAAACTATATAAAGGGTAAGTCTTAAATAAGAGCAATTATTTTCAGAGCTAGTATAGATCTTGATAAAGAAACATGTTTTCTCTTTACCGGTTTTTAAATAAGTCCAAAATAATCGAGTTATTTTACTTATTTTGAAAATTTCCAAAAAAGATTTTTGGTTAAATTTTGAGAACCGCTGGATCTTTTTGGAGTTTTCTTTCTTGTAAATTTAATCTAGGTACTACATATGTTGCCATATTATCAAGAAATTATGTTTCTCAACTAGAAACTAAAAAAATCCAAATTTTTAATGTTTTTTTTTGCGAAAAAACTCATAATCGTGTTTCTGGGGTTGAAATATATCCCTAAACACATTTGCACTTATTTAAGACTCACCCTGTATATCTGCAACAGTTACATATCTTGAGTCTGAAGATAACCATCGAAGAAATTGTGTAAAATATTGGTTAAGGGAATTCACTATTTATTATTTTTTCAAATTCGAAAAAAAATTTGAAAAATTGTTCCTTTCAGAAAGAGTTACAGATAATTTCAAAAGCCTGATGAATTATATCTTTTGGTAAAACTAAGCTAGTATTTGTCCTAAATATGCCCCATCTTTTTATAATCTTGTTTATATTTGAAATCTTTTGTTTTACAACAGCAAAATTATTACTAGTACATCAAAATATTTTACTTTTAACACCGAACGCGCGTTTCGCTAACTAAACACTATCCATCATCAGCAGATCAGATGATTAAAACTGCTTCAGTTATCTTATGATTATCCTTGGGGATTTGAACCTTTGGTGTTACAACAGCAAAATAAATTCCTAATTCACAACAATACATCAAAACCATGTTAGCATCATCAGCAGATGATTTACACTAGTCCAGTAGATGATTAAAAGTGAACTAGTTTTTGAATCATCTGCTGATGATGTAAACGTGATTAGTGAATCGCGCGTCCAGTACAAAAGTAAAGTGTTTTGGTTATTGTGGTGAATTAGTGTTTTATTTTGCATCTGATGATGATGCTAACTGTGGGAACCTCTACTCTAAATCCATGTTATGATGGCGATCTTTTTAGTGCTACCTACTGTGCATTTAAGAGGAAAATTAGGAAGGGGAATAGTAATTCTTCGCAAAATACTATTAATTGTTTATTATATCTTTTGGTTTTTGTTTATATTGTTTTTGATTACTTTAATTTGTTTTTTTTAATTATGTGATTTTTACATTTATTTGGAATTTTTAATATAATGGTATTTATTTTGGAATTTTTAAAGTATCAGAGTCCGTCAAACAATATATCGAAAAAAATCTAGTTAATGAACACCTATTAATAGATTCTCTTCCTCTTATTGTTATAAATATAAACTATACAAATATTGCAGGTTATTGGGTGCGTCTCACCCCTATAACTTTTTTATTTTTTTCAGATAAAAAAACGAGGTTTGGTATGTTAGTATATGACATAAATTAGGATTGATTGACGTATTCAATTGTTTTTGGCCACTTCCCGTTTCACCGGAAATGACTACAACTTTTGGTTTTTAAACTACACTCTTTTTTCTACTTTATTCGATAGAAAATGACACTCTGAATAGAATGACATATGATATGTCAACTTTTGACATTTTTGTATATGGTTTATTTGAAATTGTAACATGCGGTCAATAACGAAAATTTAACTCGAAATACCAAGTGCGTGATACTAAATTCTTCGTAATAAAATGCTTTTCCAAATTTCCTAATGAGCCACCTTTGTTCCAGTTGAAAAAACTGAGATATGATTAAAAATACGATTTTGGGCCTTTTTTAACCGGTTAGGCCAAGACACGAAAAATATTAGACGATCAAAACTATTTTTCCAATGCTCCTTGATTAAAAATGAATGTTGTCAACACAGCCATGAACACTCTAGATTGAAATTTAAAATACGATTTGTTTTTAAGCGGAAATGTCAAAAGTTAACATATGATATCTCATTCTATTGAGAGTGTCATTTTCTATCGAATAAAGTAGAAATATACCGAGGGTGCAATTTAAAAATCAAAAATTGTAGTCATTTCCGGTAAAACAGGAATCCTAATTTATGTCATATACTAACATACCAAATTTCGTTTTTTTATCTGAAAAAATAAAAAAGTTATAAGGCTGAGCCACTTTCGAAACGCACCCGGTATATTGATAGACGTCTAGTGCGTTTAATTAAAGGTTAATTACTTAAATGTAAAGAGATAAAGCAGTTTTTTAGTTGATTGTTCTGAATGCCCTTGTCGTCTAAGATATTATAGAAATTATATGAAAACCTCCCTTATTGTATAAAAAGTAATCACCACTTCCACTTAGTGTTTTTCGCCACTTATTCTTGCTAAAAACATCTTATACTTTAACTTATATTTATCTAGATAAACAAGTTAAAATAAGAATATATATATCTGTATACATATTCATACTGCAACAATACCCACCGTATTTCATTAAAAATCCGACTATCAAAGAACTTGTTTTCTACAAATAGAGACAAACCTTGTGACATCGTTTACCTATATTCTGGCTACCCCCGTTTTCAAGATAGTGGGCCTTGTAGATGCACTGGTAACTGGTAAGTCCATAGACTTAAAATAAAATATAGACTACACTATTTACATCTCAACGCGGACAAACAACCTTTTTTGTACACATGTTTACTTCTGGGTACAGTCGACCGAGCCTTCCTCATCCAGCCTATGTTGTCACGTCTTTAATATTATCAATATTTTTTTTCTTGTTATACACATATATTGAGATATTAATACTACAGTTTAATAAAGTAGGTTTTAATATTCCAGAGATGTATTAAATAGTCCTTATACTACTAAATTATAAGTCGGATACTGTTTAAAAAGGATAAGTTCTTTACAATATGACAACACCGATTAGAGGCGAGGGAGCCTATTCATTCATTTATTACCTTGTAGTACGTGTCGCACGTGTGCGGTAAAGCTTTGTTGCCGCTATCTCCCCGGCTGTATTAACGCATTTTCTTAGCTTGTAGTGCTTAAGTGTTTATTTTATTGACTTTTTCTGTTCAAGAACTATAAAATATGGTTCGCCAGTGCCAAATTTGCAAGAAATTTGACTTAAATAATCCATTTAAGTCTTGAAACGACTTTTGACCGGTAGGCAACTCTCAATTTACCCATTGGGAGTCAGTGGCGTTGTTGTAGAAAGGCGCTTATTTAGATAATATTTTAGTAAAATGTAAAATCTGAATTTTTTCTCTTACATTACATTATTTACTTACTTACATTGTAACAAAATCATAATTATAACCCTGTTAATAATTAATAATGTTTTTATTAAAAATATATTCCGGTTTATTCTAAAATTATCTTCAGAATCTAAAATAACATACAAGAATTTTAAAATGATATTACATTATGAAACAATATTTTTTAATATACCGGGTCGTCTCAAAAGTGGCTAACCCTATAACTTTTTTATTTTTCAGATAAAAAAAACAGATTTGTATGTTAGTAGGTATATGACATAAATTAGGATTTATTGACGTATTCAATTGTTTTTGGTCTCTTCCTGTTTCACCGAAATGATTACATCTTTTGATTTTTAAAGGCACCCTCGGTATATTGCTACTTTATTCGATAAAAAATGACACTCTGAATAGAATGACGTATCATATGTCAACTTTTGACATTGTCGCTTAAAAACATATCCTATTTTAAATTTCAATCCAGTTTTTTTCAATCCACTAAGTTTTAATCAAGGAGCCTTGGAAAAATAGTTTTGATCGTCTAATAGGTTTTGTGTCTTGTCTAGGCCGGTTAAAAGATGTACAAATCGTATTTTTAATCATACATATGTCAATTTTTTCAAATGGAACAAGGGTGACTCATTAGCATATTTGGAAAAAGCATTTTTTTATGAATATATTGATACCACACACTTGGTATTTCGAGTCAAATTGTCGTTATGAACCGGCTGTTACAATTACAATTAAACCATATGCGAAAATGTCAAAAGTTGACATATGATATGTCATTCTATTCAGAGTGTCATTTTCTATCGAATAAAGTAGAAATATACCGAGGGTGCCGTTTAAAAATTAAAAGTCATAGTCATTTCCGGTGAAACAGGAAGTGACCAAAAACAATTGAATGCGTCAATCAATCCTAATTTATTTCATATACTAACATACTAAATCTTGTTTTTTTATTTGAAAATATAAAAAAATTATGGGGATGAGCCACTTTTGAGACGCACCCGGTATAATAAAGACAGTACCGAGTTAAATAAATGTAGTTTTTATATTATCCACTTCCTATCACCTTCCTTGCTTTACTGGAACAGATTTATGTTTTCTCTAATTTACATAATAAGACATCACTTAACCAGAAAAAAAATTACAACAATCATTTTTTTTCTCTCCTGTCGCCGATTCTATTATATCTGTGGAATAGATCCTGTTTTGATTAATATTAGGGGTTGTAAATGTTTGACTAAAATTAATAATTTATTATTAATTTCAAAATTACCTAATTTCGATTATAAAA